TAGATTCAAGGATAACCTACTAGCCAGCATATTAAAGTTATGGTACAGGCTAAGAGAATAATCCATAGGAGGACAGTGGGCTCCGGGAGGAAGGTCAGGAATATAACATGGCGAACAGAGCAGTGCACCATGGGTAAACAGACTAACACATCATGTGATAGGGCTGCCTGCTAGGTGAGAAACTTACCAAGCTGCACTAACTTCTGCAGAGTCTGGGAATGGTCTACGTAGTCTGCAAGTGTGAAGGAGGAAAGGGGCAGCAGAGAGTATGCAGCAATCTGAATAGCCTTCTCCTCTGAAACTGGCTGTAACGGAGACAATGGCGGCAAGTCATCCAGTTCTTTGCAGCGAGTCATGAAGAAAGAGAGAATCGAGTCAGCAGTGTCATGTACATGCAGAAAATTATTTCTATAAAGGGACTGCAGCAATGACTCAGCAGTTAAGTACTGCTCTTACAGTTTGGATCACAGCATCTACAACAGGCAGTTCGCAATCCTGTAACTACAATCCCAGGGCCTCTGATACCAGCCTGTGGGATTCATAGGCACCTGCATTCACATCCAAAATCTATTTCCATAAATACTCTATCTTCCCTACTTTGTGTTGGTATTCTGTCTAAACTCTACCTCCACAGTTATCTGGCAACACCCAGGTATGCTCCTCCCCACAGTTACCTGGCAACAGCCAGGTAGGCCTGCCCACCATAAAAGGGGCTGCTTGCCTCCTCCTCTCTCTTACTCTCTTGCTCTCTTGGTCCCTTGACCCCGTGCCTGCAGGTTCACTGTCCCCTCTCCCCTCCGCCCTTCCCCTCCCCCTCTCTACACTCGGTCATGGCCGGCCTCCACTTCTCTTCTCTTTCTCCACCATCTTCTCCCGTTTCTGTCTCTACCTTTGCCCTCTGCCCTGAATAAACCCCCTTCCCTTTGGAACCATTTGGTCTGGTGTTGTCTGTTCCAAGCTGCCCACCTAAGTCTTTCATTGCTTAAATACTGAGATTATTCCAGAAGAGGATGGTTATGAAAGTGAAAGCCTAGCATGATGGGCCACATCTGTAATCCCAGCATTCCACTGTGCAGGCTGAGATAGGAGGAATACACCAAGTGTGAAGCCAGCACAGCCTAATAGTGCTGACTCCCACACCACAAAGGTCCACAAACGACTTAAGATCTAAAAGTTCCAGAGAGACCAAGGTAAGAAGCTTGTTGAGAAGGTTCGATGTATTCAATCTGTTTCTGAGACAGTGAACACAACCCAAGCGATCCTCCTGCCTCAGGCTCCTAAATGCTGGGATTACAAGTTTGAATCACCTTGCCTGGGTAAGGCACAAAACTATTTCTTTTCATGTTCCATCAACAGGTAAGAATATTCAAGATCCACTGCTCTTCAACCACACTGTGAGACACATGGTTTACCATGGTTTGTAACTTGGCTGAAAGAATGACCTTAAAAAAACCCCAAATCTATATTCCAAAGTTTTGATAGTCTGAATTTATTATTCTGATCCAATGCCATCATCCCCAGATTATTCTTTTAAGAGAATTTCTATGTTCCTACCATCTGCTACCTTTTGCCAGCCTGCCCTGATACGGAGTTCCCTGCTGTTGTTTTAACATAATTTGGTATGGAAGACATTTGAAATTGTCACTTTAAAGAACCCAGGCTATGGTCCTTTATGGTGTTAGTCTATTAACCATCCCTTTCCCACTCACAGTCAGTTTCTCTTCCCGACCTCCCCTTTTAGCATCCGTTCATGTTCTACTAACGGAGTAGTAGTCTACATGGGGCCTAACAATGGATTCCTATAGCAGGAGGCCTGGAAAGAGCAGGGTTGACTATAAAGCAATTCAAGGGGAATCTGAGGTGTGACATAGCTGTTCCCACTTAGTCATTATTACAGCTAAGTATCTATGTTGAAACTGTATACTGCAAAGAGAAATACAAGAAGTAAACCCTAATAATTCTACTTAACGGCAAAAGCACACTTTTCAAAAGAAGCTATAGAACAGAATATTTAGAAAGCAAAAACCCATCTTACACACTTAGCTATAAAATAGTACGACACAAATTAATAAACCTAGGAACTTCTTAAAATAACAGTTTAATAGAACTAAATGAATAGAACCAACATTGTTCCTTATTTTGTCTGGTACAAAACAGGATGTGAACTGGGTATTGTCTAAATATGTAGCATGATCAAAACTATCTGAAAAGGGGACTTTTCTCAATGTGCAGAATTACCTTCTAGAGGCAGCTCCGATTCAAGACTAGGTGTCTTCTCTTGCTGCTCACTTACGGAAGGAAGCTGAGTGCTTTCGGTAGAACTCTTTCTCCTGTTTGTGTTGGCAGACTGGAAACTGTCCCAGGAGAACAAAGTCCTGTAAGTCTTAATTCCCCACTGGAGAAAGCAAGTGTCAGAGGACCCCAGAGCTCGAGCTGAGAAGCTGGCTACCAGCGTTGTCCCTGGTCTTGCAGAGTGCTTTGTGACTTGTGTGGCTTTAATGAAGCATTTAACTGAGTAGAGCCATCTGGATGGCTGCTGGGCTAGCAGGGCCATTTTTTTCTTGACATTTAGTCTACAAAGGAAAAACACAACCATCAAAGGAAGAAAGATTAATAACTCACATATTTAAAACAGTATTCAAACAGCAAAACCAAAAATAGGCAACAAATCACTTCCAAAAACAAAGGATTTAAATAAATATGTCTGGGATAGTCAAATATTTCTTACACATTAAAAGCCAAAAATACAGGCAGTCTCAGCTACCAAACAAAACAGGAACTTTTGAACTGGAAAAATAAAGTTATGCCTTCCAACTTAAAACCAAAGAATCATGTTAAACCAAAAATGCTTGTAAATGCTCAAATTACAACAGAACCAAATCAACTTTTAATCTGCCTTTAATCCCACCACTTAGGAGGCAGAGGCAGGTGGACTTCTGAGTTCAAGGCCAGCCTGGTCTACAGAGTGAGTTCTAGGACAGCCAGGACTAAACAAAGAAACCCTGTCTCAAAAAACCTA